TCATAAGCACTCACACTTCCATGGCTACATGTATTCACCCTAACCCCCTCATCAACAATACTTAATCAATAACACTAGACTGTGAACCATTATGTTCACCATCAAAATATGTGACAGTGCATCACAATAAACTTCCACAACAATTTCTCCTCCAGCTAAAATTGCACTGGGTCTCTTCTGTGTTGCCATACTTGCAGAAAGAGCTGTCGTAATCCTATATATGAGGCACTGAGTAAGTTAAAGTATGAATTTATATTTGGTCTGAAAGCTCATCAAAGGAAGTTGGTGTTCGAAATAACAAAATACATAAGACTGGAGTCTTTAACAAGGTACATGTCTGATGGTCATCCCTAGCTAAGTTGCAGCTGACCTAGAATAGTTATGGTGCAGAGAAGTGGTCTGGTATGCATTGCAGTCTGCTTATCTACATAAATTTGGTGTCTAAACTGTCAAATGTGGAGGCTTCAGAGCACAATACTTAATTTAATATTCAAAACTGAAAACTACTCACCTGAGCTCACTGAAGAGATTGTAAAAAATATTGCTTCCAAGCCACAACAATCAAGTCACCACAGATGCCAACTGCAGTCCCCACCTTCCATATACTGTAGGAAGAAATTTCACCTTACCTCAGTGAAGCTGAAGAATAAGCCAATGCCACCACACAAGTTGAAGGCATAGTTGATTGTGCTTTGTAGCTTCTTCATGCAAGATTGACAGGGGCATCCACCATTACAACATGAAGTCTGCAAAACCACAATTGTTTCAGCATTAGTCTCCTAACAAGCAAAGTAAAAAAAAAAGGTGGATATTTTCCACCAGAGGTGGGAAGTTTTTTGGTTCACCATCAGAGGGAAGCTACATGTAGGAACAGCAGATGGAGACAACACCCAATTCTTCTGACTTCATCTTCCTGTGGCTCTGCAACCAAGTGTGGGTCTTGGCCGCCTCGTTTCAGAGGTTTCTTAGTCTTCAAATTATGCATTTGTAAGTAGTGCCTCTGCACAATTTCTACTCAACCGTTTTTTTGTCTGCTAGAGCCACCTGGTAGAGAATCAGGAGATATATGGGTGAGAAATGGCAGCTGAATTTTGCTTACACAACATCTCGTTCATACTCGTAAGGTTCTTTTATGTGCTGTAAATCCATGACATGGGACCGCTGGCTTTACTTCCCCTCCAATGGAAGTTGTGCTACGAATTTTTATCACCCTTAAAAATCCATCGACCACGGCCGGGTTTGAACCAGCAAACCTTGGGTCTAGTGGCGAGCATGCTAACCACTAGTCCACCAAGGGTGAATCCAATTCTTCTGACACTTCATGAAATTTATTTTACTCTTGTAACAAATTTTAGAATTGTAAGATTTAATGAAAGTTCATGAGAATAAAATACGGTACTGACAATCCTGTAATCTGAGAAGGACTTGATATTTATGCATGCATTTCTATTCATAGAATCTTCATATCTTTCAGCACTCAGTAATCTCTTTATATTCATCCTTTTAAAAATCTTTTAATATCACATCAGATATTCCAACGCCTTGTACCTGAATTAAAACGAGGAAAATGGCCTGCTGGAATCAACTGACAAAAGGATCAAGTCTCATATCAGTTACATCAGACGAAGGCCGTGTTTACTTTTAACACACTCCCAACAGCCCAGCTGGCCATGTGTCACATGACCCAAGTCCTATCTCTACAGTGCTAGCAACTTCTAGTACATCCTTGACTGCATCACCCTCACCATGAATAAAATACAACGAACCAGAATATCCCCCCCCCCCCAAATGGCCTTGGCCCATCTTCAAGCTTTGTTCCACTTATATAATAGCAACAAAGTTGGTCGTGAAGAGCCAGCTGTGAGCTGACTATCTACAGAGTTGGCATAGTGTGTGGCAAAGAGCAAGAAACAATACTTGGTTTTAGAGATGTGTGTGAAGAGAATGTCTTATAGCCACACGGCAACTAAGCAAGATATTCAGTGACCAAGATTCATGAATAATAACTGCAAAAAACTGCCATCAAAAGGATAACTGTAATTACTGCGGAAATAAAAAATCCATATTTCAGAGATAACCAAGGTATGCAGTTATTTTTGTCATAAAATGAATGCATCTCATTGAAATAATATTACAGTGTGTCCACAAATTTGTCCTATGGACCTAACTAAATAAATCATTAAAAAATTATAGAGTGAATGGGCTTTCTGTTGAAATTTTGACCAATGCATTATTTCCATGGAAAACACTATTATGGCTGAATGTGATGTAACAACAGTGTACAGGGACCAGAAGTTACGATCATGACTCTTGAGTGGCAGACCATGTCACACCATCTCACTGCAGATCAGAGGAAGAGTGCTCGCTTTGCATGTGGCTGGTCTCCGGTTCAGTCCCCAACAGATCCGACTGCTCTTTTCTCCAATGTTCTTCACTCGTTTTGGTCCCTTTCTGTAATTCTTAATTCATTTTACTTGTTTCTATTTCTCTTTGGTTTCATTTGTCTTTATTTCTCACTGCTTTATTTCAAATTTCTTAGTTAAGTGGATTTGAATTAACACAACATTCTATCAAATAACTGCAGAACTACCTACAATAAAAGACAAAAATCAATCATAAAGTAAAATAATGAGACAAAAGTGACATGTAAAACTTATACATTCACATTACAGAAGCTGTTCAAAGTTGCTTCTACTGGCAGCAATACTTTTTTCTAAACATACGATCACATCTGTAAGAACAATTCGCAACATTTCCACTTTAATGTTGCCAGGCCTGCATGGACACATGCAGTTAGCTCAAAAAATGTCCTCCAGTTTGTCCCTATTGTACACCAATGGCTTCAGATGACCCTGACAGAAAGAAAATGCGAGGGTTCAGGTCAAAAGACCTGCCAGGTCATCGAGTGAGGCTGCTGCACCCAATCCACTGGCCTGGCCATGCAGCATTCAATTAATGTTCCACAGCCAACCCACAAAGCACCAGGGTGCTCCACGGTGATACCCCATTTGTTGTAATATGTGTATTGGAATGTGCTGCAGCAGATTTGTAAGGGCATCCCACAGGAAGACATGATATGTTCATGCACAGTCTCTCAGGAACTTGAGAGGGACCTATGACTTGGCTGCTTAAAATTCTGGTCAACACAATGACTGACCAATGCTCTTGAAATGCTCACTTGTATACTAAGTGAGGATCTGCAAGTGCCCAATAATGTTCACTGTACACGTTTATCACTCCTTCCCTTGAAAATACAGCCTCGTACCTCCACGGCACACAAACGACAAAATTAGGCTCCTCATTACGTCACTAAAATCCAATCACAGGAATTCAGTCCGTGGTGATGAAATACCAGTGTGAAATGTCATACCCTGATGTAATGAAAATGGTGTAGATCATGATCTTTAAGAACACCATAGTCAAATGGGGCAGTACAGTTTGCAAGATATCTGCCTTACGGATGTTTGTGGATTTTCGTTAACTTCTTCTCGTACATGATCCACATTCCCTGAGGTGAATCATGCTTCAACATTTGCAGTGCTGTGGCACTCTCCAGACATAATGTGCATATCCACATACTCATCAAAGGCATAATCTATGTTGCCTGCAGGAAGATTAGAGAGTGACTTATGGCTGCCTTCTGGGTTGGTGCAGCGCATAACTTCTACCAGATTACATGAAACAACAACCCACAAGAAAGCCACCTTCAAAACAAAACAAAATTAAAAACAATGAAAAACAGAACAGAAAAAAACAGATCTGTTGGGGATTCAACCCCAAATCAGCCATATGCAAAGGAAGCACTCCACTGCCACCGGGTAAAAACCCATTTGCAGTCAATAATAAATAATAATAAAAGCACACTACCACGGATCTAGTGACAATGTCTGTTGCTCGAGAGCAGTGATCACAATTTCCTTTTCCACATACAAAGTCGCTACAATGTGCTCAACTTTAATCATGCTTTCTGCCAAAATATTGTCAGCTGAAATTGCAACAAAAATATTTGTCTTATAATTCACAAGAATGTGCATACTTGGGTCTGTGGGTGCAAATATTCAGACACTTTTTAAAAATGTTTAAGAAGATAGCATTAAACAGTTTGTGCACAGAATTTAATATAAACCTCTGAAAATTGAGTGTATTGCAGGCAGTGATAACTTCAACAGAGCATAATGCTTACCTCACATTTATCTTGTGGTACTGGTGTGGATGATGGAATGCTGATGTCATTGAGATTATGATCAATTTCACAGCAGTCAAACATTTTCTGCACCTTATGCTTGATATCTGAAGCCACTGTGTTCCATCCCTGCACAGAAAATCGAGTTCTGTAATCTACAGTTTTTATATTCACGTCATACTTAGTTTCTCTGCTTTTCTGTTTGTAGATAAAACACACTGGGACTCACCAAACTGTGCAAAATACATTTAAAACATTGTTAAAAACTTTTAACTTTTCTTTTACATTTTGAACTTTTAACATATAATTTCATCATTATTTATTTACACAGAGAGTAGATAATATGATCCACAGTCGAAAGGCATAGACACAGGGAAATGAACCTGTGATGGCCACACTGGAACAAAACATGCTGTTCAAGTAAATGGACAGGGTACAGAGGGCGTCAGAAGTGATTTACAAGAACCAAGAATAGTTTCTCTTACTGTGAGCCAGATGCATTACACACAGATAATACAGCTCTAAAATAAATTATAATAAATGCATTAATTCTGTTGAGAACCATCTACTTTCTCTAAAAAGTGTGCATTAGAAATATGTACAGTACAAGTACAAATTATACTACAGATGTCACATTACAGTCATGTATTACAAGGGTGGTTCCAGGTTGACCTGGACTTTATTTGCACAAACCACATACACGTCAGAATAACCATACTATTACTTCTTCTGAGTATACTGTCCCTATGCACTGACACATTTTTTGACACTGCCATTGCAGGGCAATGATACCAACAGCAAAGAAGGAATTACGTTGACTGCGTAGCAAATTCAGGATACCATGCTTTAGTCTGCCACTCCAAACTGGACCTCTTTGATTCTGGAGTGGAGCAGTTTACCCATGTCTCGTCAGAAGTAACTATTCGCTTCAGAAATGAGTGAGCGGGAATGAGAGCAGTGTTGTCACCATCTGGCATGAAAGATATTTTGTCATTCTGGTACAGACATATTTTGTGAGAGGGGAGGAGGAATGACCATGTCAACCTTGAACCACCCTTTCCAAGCTGCATCGATGAGGACAAATTAAATTCACAGTACCACTTTAAGTGCAAATGCTCAACCTCAAATATCACTGAAAAACTATTCAACAGATTCTGAACATGCGATGTTGACAGACATTTCAGCCAATCACTTTCCACAACTTACACATAAAAATATAATCTGGCAGTTTTCAGAAACTGTACAATCAGGCTGTTAAGTTAATCACAGTTGTAAGATTCCAGGCCATTAATTTTCCAGCACTGGAAGCTGAACATGCACAAGCAACAACGAAATGTGTGAAGAACAAGATCAGCGCATACTGCGCACACTGTCAAGGGTATAATTAAGCACCTGCTCGGCCAACTGGTGTTGCTGCTCTGCGTTGAAAGCCAGACATGCACAGGCAATGCTGAACTGCACCAGGAACAGCAGGAACAAGATCAGCATGTACTGAAGAGACTGTCAAGGAACTCACAGTCAACTACAAGAAAGTAATATACCTGTCATTAGCCAGAAATCAATCACATCACATTTTCCCTGACATGGATGTTTTATGCAATCTTTTTAGTGCTAAACGTACTCTTTTAGCTTTCCTGTGACTGACAGTTAATAAAGTAATTGCTTGAAGCAGACATTACTGACTGGCCCTTGATAATATCACACTTGCCTAAATAATATATATATGATTGTCAACAAGATGGCAGATAAGAGCACTGGTCAGCAGTTTTGTGACTGCCAAAGATGTAACTACAAGTTACTGAGTTAAGCAACTGAAATTCCAAGCACAAATGGAAAATTCTAAATTAATATTAAGGAGTAAAGAAAAATGACCGAACACAAAGCTTTTGGAACACCTGGCACCAAATAATTCAACATGTAATTAACTTAAGATTGTAAATAGTATAAACAGTAGACTCCCATTTATCTGGGCTAATGAAGGGAAGAAGATGCACAAATAATTAAAAAACAGATAATCCAAAATATTTTGCTTGGCACATTCACAAAACTTCACAATTTGTCTTGTATTTCTTACACAACTGAAGTTATTTTGAAGAACAGTTTATAATGATTACTTGTTTTTATGAAATGTTCCGACCCCCTCACAGCACACTTTTCCCTCATTACCACCCCCCCCCCCCCCCCCCCAACCTTGAATGGTTTCTTCTAACCACGTGTTTGTCTGTCATGTGTTGAAAGCCCATTTCATCATTTTTCATTGATAATTTCAAAACTTATCACATCACACACATTATCAAAAATTTCAGACTTGCTGATTACTACATTAGAAAAACCTTGCAAATCATTTTCTCCATGATCATACAAGCATTACTGGATTCATGGAAGGCCAACTTGAGGTGTTGTTTTATTGTTGGTAGTTTTCTTACAATTTTCAGCCATCGCACTTAGGATCTACAAAATGTTAACTATAATTTTCACCTAAGTGGTGTACAATACAAGGTAACAAGATTGACTATAAGCCACTACATAATATTCAAAAAGACCAAGTGCACCTGTAGCATCCCCTTCTCCACCACCATGACCACTGGAACAAACCTCTCAACCACATCACTGACACCGATCATAAAATTCTGAAAGAACGGTATTGTTAGACCACATTTTCTGCAGACAATCTCAAAACCAACCACCCCTACACTCCAAGGCAGTCACAGTAAGATGTTGAAAACCTAATTCAAATTTGCTTGTATTTTCTTGTGAAATATGTAGTTCCAGTATTGTACTATGTTGATAAACACAACTTAAATGACAGAATTATTGCAAGCCCCCTTGCCTGAAAAGGTGTCAGACAGC